AAAAAAACCACTGGCACTCTCGTGGCGTTCAAGCTGGATTTAGCGTGTATAAGCCGTCGGGAGTGTTTTCCCATGGTTTCGAATGCCATATCCATTCGAATGCGCGTTCCCCATCTGGCGCTGCCTCTGTGATAGGTCAATTTTCTTCAGCGCACGGCCGATCGGGTTCGGATGCCACGCCACACTACTCCGAGTCGCGTCGTAAGGCCCCCGCACACTATTCCGACCCGATCGTCTCCGGATTCAAAATTCGAATCGGCGGCCAAAATCGACCTCCAGAGCCAATCTTAAGCCTCCGAGCCCAAACTAGAACAGTCGTCGATCCAATCGTAAGCCTCAAAATCACGCTCGGGTCGGATAGGTGTGCGGCTAGCATAACATGTTAAACGCAAATTACTGTAAGCACTGCCTAGTAAGTGTCATGATTAGGACGATCCGAAAAAATGTTGTCTTAATTTGACTATGTCTCGAATTTTCTATGGCTAAAATTTGTAAAATTTTTGTTGCCAATTTTTTACATTAAAAGTAAGAACTAACGGGAACTAACGTACCGCTTAAGAATAAACGTACCTGTAAAGAACTAACGTACGTCAAATTCTTACCTGCATAGATTGTTTATCAACTAGTTAAAAAATCAAAACCTGCGACGATTTGGCTTATTAATGTTCCCAACATTAATTGGCTTGCTATGGGCTATGTATGCCCGCTCAGTGTATGTTCACATCTAACAATATAGTAAAACAGCGAAGTATAATGCAGCAATTTACATAAAATGTGAACAAGACATTACTTTGTGTATATTTATTTGTTACTATTTTACTGGTGACGTATCACGTTTAACATGCTCATTTTTTGTGTTTTCGTTGGCAGCTGCAAGTAGAGCCGGCGTATTCAGCCGCAGCAAGTGCAACTTCTAAGTACAGAGTGTGTGGCAGGCGTTCAGCTGATTTAAGTTAGAGGGAAACAAGGGTGCCGGGCATTGTGAAAGTCACGTCCCGGCAGGCTTGCTCCAATCATATACGCGAGTGTTTTCTTGGTAAGAGGACATTATTATGCCCATTACTATGTTGCATCACTGTCGCGTCAATCGTATTAGCCAGCGAGCCGTTGTCCGCCGTTTGCATTTGCACGGTCAGTTTTGAAACTGCACGGCCACAAATGTGTAGCCGCGCTAAAATATTTGATCTAAGTCACATGTACAAAAAATTGCACCTGCCAAATATTTTCTTCTGCAATCGCCACAATTACTCATCTTGCGCTAATAACCCTTGATGTGCATGCCGTGCATGTTGTGTTCGTGGCGGTGTGTGTGTGTGTGTGTGTGTGGTACGTGCGGTGCCGTGCTGGGTGTCCGTGTATCCATGCGTGTTGTGTGTGTAAGTCATGGCGTGCTGTGGTGTTGTGTGTCGTGTGTGTGCGGTCAGTCTAATCAGCGCCCTCTATCCTCTAGACTAAGTTTAACAGCCGCCTTCTATCTTACTCTTGCTGCAGTTTGTCGTCTTTGAGACGATCACGCGTGACGGTGCGGCGTACCTGCCACATCGGTAACGACGGACTGGAGAGAGGAGGCTGCACTTCATCTGCGGCGGATGAGCGAGCGTTGGCGCCAGCGTCGCGCCCAGCCGAGGATGTCATGCGAACGCCGACTCATCGCCAGCGGCGAGCCCAGGTTCAGCGTAGAGATAGCGTCGCCTGCCCCATCTAAGAGTGTGTCAGTTCATAACCTATCATTGTGTGTGTTGTGTGTACGGATCATGGTGTACAGTGTATCAGTTCATAACATATCATTGTGTGTGTTGTGTGTAGATCATGGTGTACAGTGTATCAGTTCATAACGTATCATGGTGTACAGTGTATCAGTTCATAACGTATCATTGTGTGTGTTGTGTGTAGATCATGGTGTACAGTGTATCAGTTCATAACGTATCATCGTGTGTGTTGTGTGTAGGTCAGAGTGTACAGTGTATCAGTTCATAACGTATCATTGTGTGTGTTGTGTGTAGGTCATGGTGTACAGTGTATCAGTTCATAACGTATCATTGTGTGCTGTGTGTAGGTGAGGACGTATCATGGCACGATACATTGCATCTGTTCCGTGTTCAAGCATGAGGGCGTCGCCGGATTCTACAAGGGTACCGTGCCGAGTCTGATCAAGGCTTCCAGCGTCACCTGCCTCAGCTTCCTCGTCTACGAGCAGTTCTGCGACATGCTGCGTTACTACCGGCAACGCCGGCACGTCTCCTAGCAACGCCGACGACAACGAGTTGCCACGGCGACGCGAGTATGCGTTTCTGTGAAGTGTGTTGGTGGGGGGGCGGCGAAGCAGCGTTCACGTGCCGGTGAGGCCCAAAGTGGTGTTCGCTTGTTGGTGGGGCGGCGAAGCTACGTTCACTTGTTGGTGGAGCGGTGAAGTGATGCTCACTTGTTGGTGGAACGGACAAGTGATGTTCGCTTGTTGGTCGAGCGGCGCGGACCTGCTCCATGTGATTGACGCTATGGGTTATGAGGCCGGTAGGTGGCGCCTCGCAGCGGAGTAAACGAACGGCAGGTGCGTCACTCAATCAGGGGCGCTACGACTGATCCCTGCGTCGGTGTGTGCTGATGATGCAATCATTGATGCACGCCGTAATATCGCACGTCTTTTGCACCAGGAGTTGTAACGTATCGACTCCATGTATTCGAGAGTGTGGCACGATCGTGCGTCTTTGTCAATACCGGTGGATGTGCGTGTATGGAAGGCGGTTTCCATGATGCCTTACAAACAAGCAGGCGATGACGCGTGCCGCCATGCCGGCGCCCCCTGCTGGCAAGGAACTAGAGGATATATTTGTCATGCTTATGCAGCGCGCGGGTCTGTTGGCAGCGGGCCAATTTCTCACCGGTAGATCTTGCAGCGTTGGTAGTTTGCGCTTTCACGAGTGCATCTAGTTTTTTTAGACGGGAGCAACGGATTTGTCATGAGCTTGCTAGTCCATTTCAGCTTCGCCATATCAGTTTCTGGTGTCCGTCGATCACGCGTTTCCAGTGGTCGGTGATTGGGCGTTGCGAGCCGGTAGGGGGCGCTGGTAATTCGACGAGCGAGGCAGCTTTGCTTGGCATTATTCGCCTGCTTTTTTGGCGTTTTGTTTTGTTTAAATACTGGTGACGAGCTCAAGGTAGCTCGCCTTATAGCAGTGCTGGGAATACTAGCGGGGCAGGGGCTTTCAACATATGCCGGCAATCGACAATGCTCTAACCGTAGCATGTACAATATACACACGTGTGCAATGTGCTGTATGTGTGTTTGCACGCTGGCTTGCTGGTGGGAGGGAGAGAAGGAAAACATCAGACTTTGTTACAGACAAACCGTCCTCAGGATTTGCAAGATCTTCCTTTAGTGGTGGTGTACATAGTAATATATAGGACGTGTTATTCTCTCACATTTAAGTATAACCGCCACCTTTATTTTTTACTATCTCCACGGCGACAGTCACCGTAGTTTTGCATAATAGTTTCCATGGCAACGGTCGCCATTCCGGGTGCGTCAGGTTATTCGAAGCGGCCATTGACAGTCGGTCAGATGTTCTTCTTGGTTTGCATGTGGCAGTCACATGCAGGATCTTGAATGTACGCGGCTTTCCGGTGCATGCGTTGACACTTGATACGTGTCTGCTTTGCTGCGTGTGAGTCGGCACGCTACCGTGGTGGACCCATCCTTGCCGGTGACGATCAGTTCTGTGATCTTTACATCGTTTTAAGAGTGTTCCATTAGCTGTCGGGGTCGCGAGAGTAGTGTTGTATCTCTGGCATAGCTGGATGGAACTTGTTACCATGCACAAGCTAGTGTGGATGTCTTTGTGCATGTGTGTGTGAGAAAGTGGTGGGCACGAATACTCTAAATATGAATAAGGTGAATAGACAGGTTGAGTGCAGCTACCAGCAAGCCGGTGAAATTATAACAATCAAGTTCTTAAAGGTTTTCATATGAAAATCTATTCCACAGATCTGAATCAATTTGTCAATTAACTGCATCTAGGAAGTAATACAGTAATCTCTAAAGTCCGGCCTCAGACATTGATTTATTGATGTGACAAGTGATTGTAAAGGTCACCAGGGTCATGTTGTCATCAATAGGTTATCACTAAAAGTTACTGAGCCTATGATGTGGTTTGGATACCAGTGCAAGAGGTCAGAGTGCATGGCAGCGGGTATGGTACACCCACGCATTGTTCGAAGGTCGAGCGAAGAAAGTTTGTGTTGGTGTTACTTTTTTCCGAATACCTGATGAAAAAGCTTATGTGGAGCTCTTAACTATTCTCAGAGAGATCTGCCAAAGACTAGGAACAGTCTGCAAAGAAAACATGCTGTGTTTTATGAGCACAGTTGCGAATATACTAGCCGATTGCTTGTGTATAACAGCAGTTTGTGTACAGGTGCGTGTATTTGGACTATTTATGGTAAATAAGTGTAATTTAAACTCGGAAGCGGCGGGGCGTTTCTGACGTTTTCGATACAAGTGCACATGTTTGGTGCCAAAGTTGTTGCCATTACCGGCAGTGATAATTTATTAGAGGTACGAGCTGTGTCGTAGAGAGAGAGGGGGAAAGAGAGAGAGAGAGAATTGTGGTGGTGAGTAAGTGAGAGGGAATAACTAAAAAAGATACTAGTTCAACACTACAAATGAAGGGCATTTGTAGCAATAGTGAAGAAATTTTTTGCTATTAACTTATAGGAAATAGAAACTGACTGGTTGAGATGTTTTTTTTAACAGCATCTCTTGTGGAAAGTTAGGATGGGGAGAGGGAGTTCCATCACATTCGAAAGAATGAGGGAATCGTAGCAGTGGCGACCAAACTTCCTTAACGAATTCCTAACGTTTTAAGTGGGTGTAGTAATCTTGCTACGACACGTGGGGCAGGTGTATTTGGGGAGCAACGCTGCATGAATGAGCTGCCATTACGACACCACCGTTAACGTAGTAACGCATTACTACTCCAGTTACCCCTCTGTCAGGAGTTTCAAACAACTGATCAATGGGAAGAAGAAAACCGGGGCAGTATCTAAACGTAACTTGAGAATGTGAGTTGAGTGAGTAAATGCGTGCCAGCGTAACAACTCCAGTTAGTCTCTGTGTGCGTTTTGTAGCATGACAGGTGTCTCAGAGCAAGCTGCCTCTTGTTCACGCTACAGCGTGGGGATGCCAGCCACTTGGCTGTGTCAGTGAATAAAACCACGTCTGACGCTCAAAACTATAACTACATAATAAGAAGCAGTATCGATACACAGTAGAGTGCAGGGGGCGAAATTAACGCGAGTCCGGAGTCTCCCTGATTTACTGCCGGACTCCCTGACATATGCAAGATTCCGTGTGACTCTCTGAAAATTCTGCCACACTAACTAGTTCGTTCCAGAGCACGGCCTCGCAGAATTGCCATATTTTTTCAGCAAATGTCCAAAGACAATTTGGCAGATGTGCAACCGCATGAATCTTCAAAATAAGCACACACGTTATTGTTAATATCTTTAGTTTTGAACGTCAGACTGCGGACTCCCTCATTTTGCTGCGGACTCCCTCTTTTTGAGGGCAGGGAGTCCGTTGGACTCCCTTGTTCAAAAGTTAACTTCTACCCCTGAAAGTGTGAGGACAATTTGAATGTACAGCGCTAGTTCTGATGGAATCTTTATTGGAATTTACGTAATAAATCATAGGTAAATTTGGGCATGGAAATGTTGAATTTCTTGTATTTCGACCGAGTCATACTTGTATTAATCACTCCTGATCTTGTGTATCCATATATGTCCCTGTCATGTCACCATCTACAGTTAAACCTCGATTATCCGAATGAGACGGGCGGGGAGTATTTTGTTCGGATAACTGATCTGATCGTAAATACTTAATTAAATATTCACGGGACCTTGAGATCTTGTTCGGATAATCCGAAATTCGGATAACCGATGTTTGACTGTATATGTCATCTGCCCAGCTAACCATGAGTTCCCCGGCTACGTGTGCGTTCCTCATCGCGTGGCTAATGTCAAAACAAAATATATGTGTGGTTACCGTTACATGCCGGGAAAAAATAGGGTAGGTAGGTAGGGAAAATATTTTATTTTCTTGAAATATTTTATTTACGAACCATGTCCGAAGGATGTGCGTTGTGCCTTTTGAAGCAGGAACTGTCCAATTAATTAATTAATTAATTAATTTTTTATTTTTTTTACTTTAAAGAAAATTTACAATAAAATGTTTAGGGTCGCTGGGAATAAAT